CCTACGCGCACAAGAAAACTCTCGCCCAGGGTATGATGGATTTAGCATTACTCACAGCAAACGCCAATCAATTGCGCTATGTGTTAGAGACCTTCAACAGACATCCATACTACTATCCGAGCTTGGTTCTCCTAATACTTAGCATTGCTTTTCAAGTAACTAATTTTTATACTAAATTTAAAGTGACAGCGAAAATTTAATTTTCAATATTTTTCTAATTACAGATAGCTGTTGGTGTTGGCTTGATTCTCACCAGTCGTTACAACATTGAAGACAAAAAGGAGGTGTGTCATGCGAACAGAGTTAGCAACTATACAATTTGTGGCATTTTCATAATTACCGTTATTAATGTGTTCATTTCGGCATTTGGCGTGGCAGACACGTCTGGCGATAAATAATTGTGGAATCTACGCTTGCTGTTGTCGCTGTCCATTAATACATTTAACGTATACAAATATCTACAATAGAGCATTAATATACNGAAAATAAATTTTAATAGAAATCCATTTCAAATTAGGTATCGAATAATTTACACGAATACGTTTCAATTTTATGAAATTTGCATTTTTTAAGAACATTGAACAAAAAAAAAAAAATTTATTTATCAAAATTAGATATAGCATTCGGTGGCCTGTTAATTTCTCGAATAATTTATTTGCACACACACACATACATATACACATATATAACAGTACATACTCCTTAGTATATAAAAATATAAATTTTTATATCTATGTATTAAAATAAATAGTATAAGCCTGAACGAGTATATATTTTTTTATCTGGAAATGTTAAATTTATATTATTTGCATAAGAATACAAATTCTATAAATATGTAGGTGCTTGAAACAAGGATGTCCGAGCTGGGAGAAAACATCGCCCCAACTTTTTGTGTAAAAAGTAATTGGTTCTTCATAAGCTGTTAAGTGCCGGGACGGCAACCGAAAACAGAAACCTTTTTATATATATAGGTTTAATGCTCGTTTCGACCAAGTTTGAATAGGAAAATTTTCCACACTTTTGTTAACACTTTTTTTTGGTTAAATACGGAAATACCATTATTTTTGCCAGTTGATAATTTTTTCTCACGTATATGGTAGGACATACCCTTGTGGTCAGCTGATATAAATGAGTGAGATTTTGACCAGTTTTGGCTACTTTCCTATTTTCTATTTAATGTTTAGAATTTTTTTTAAGTCTAGTACATTATATATTTAGCACCACATAAATAAACATTTCAAACTTCGTAGAAAAATTATAAAAAACTTAAACAATTACACACAAAAGCTTTAAAATTTTTATTCAGAATTTTTAGAAAAAAGTCGCGTTGGTTTTCATTTTCTTTTTTGCTGACGGTGCTGTACATTTTCTTTCATATAAATCAACGCGATTTTCGGGCGCCTTGAAGCTGGAATTGCTCTTTAATTTTTCTAAAATTTAATGGCCTATAAAACGGCACACCTAAAAGTTTTCTAAAAATTCTGAATAAATAGTTTACAATTTTTTGGGTGAAAAAAAATTAGAAAATTAACAAATTAACGAGCAGCTTCAATGCAAACATACACTAGTTTGGGAAGCATCGAGTTCTATTGAGGATCGAGTTCTGTGGTATCGATACTTTTAAGCGTCGGGTATTTTTGAGAGTACTGAGTACTTTCTTTAAATATACACATGTTGGTAACGTTTCAATGCTTAGTGTAGAAATCTCAAAAGCTGACAAATTTTTATTCAAATTAATATATTAATCCCAACTTATGTCAAATGAGTGATTGGCTAACTACTGATTGCAAGAATGTATTTTATTAGAAAATTATTGAAACTTGAAAATGAGTATATTGATTTCTGAATTCCGTATTTTTAAGTAAATATCTATGTGGCACTTAATACTGATATGAGTACTTTGAATCGATTCTGAGAAAAGGTATCAAAGTGATGATTGGAGCAGAGTGTTTTTAAGTACTGCGTACTTTCGAGTTCTTTTAAGTACTGAGGAGCATTTCTAGCGAGGAATCGCGGAAGAAATACATTAGCTAAAATTAGTATACCCACGTAAATTAGACTGGCCCAAAATTTGTTTTGTCGATGGCATTTCTCTTTTGTATCGCATTAGAGAGTAGCCCCACAGGGATGTACGGAGCATAGAATGTAAGCTGCAATGCTATAATCTTTGGGTATCAGAGCTTACACTTCTTTAGGAGCGACAAGCCTGTTTGGCGCATTGTCGTATGACTGCCCGGAACAATCCCGTATGTCAATGTCGTTTTTCTTGAAAAACTATCGTAGAGCATCCGCCATTTCTTGTTCAGTGTGGCCACAGTTGAAAAGAAATATTAAAAATCGTATGACTGTTATTATGCCACTATGCATCTTATGGTTACAGAAAATTGATCGGCTTGTGCCGGATCAGGCTTAAAAAAATATGTAGAATTATAGATGAGCAGCTTTTTGTAACGTGTTTCATAACTTTTTTTGCAACGTCAGAAAAACTAAAGAATATTGGCATAGTGTCGGGGTAAAAAACCCTCTTTAAAAGTTTACCAAAAATTTGTATTACAAAAACGACCAACAACTCTTCAAAGAATCTGAACTTATGAATTTCTGAGGCTCAAATATAATTATACAGGTCAAAAATTACAAAAAAAAATGTTGCTTTGAATTTAACGTCAGTTTGTAATTAATACTTTGAAGTCTTATTGGTACGCTTTTATAAATAAATTGATTTTAGTAACATGATTTTGTCGGACAGAAGCTGTCTCAAAGAGCAAAGCATGTTTTGTTACATTTGTGGTGAATAAGTACATAGTTAAAAAGTTTCGAAAATGTAAAAATTTTAAAAAAGTAGTTCATCCAGGCTAGAAAGCCCCTGTGATATTCGGATGAACTACCTATTCGAACTTTTTGTTACATCCGTAACTTATCATTCGAATAAATTTACGATGAAATAAGCAGTGACTGCGATTTCAAAGGAATAGCCTTTAAAAAGCCAAGGCTTTTCACCCAAGAAGAATTAAATGATTTGATAAGGGACTTATAACTATCTAAAAAATATCAAGGTTCAGTTAGTCTACACTTAATTTACGTAATGTAACCCAATATACTGGCCAAATCAATATATTTTTGTTCAAGAATTTTTTTATATGGCTTATAGGCGGCAAAGTGACCATCAGCTGAAAAGGAAAATACGAAAACAAAATATTTTTGCTTCTGGCTAATTTGACGTGTTGAGTAATCATTGAAGATTTTTTTATGTAACTGAGTAGTGGTATGGTTGTTTTTTTTTTTGTTCAAACGTGCAGCCATTTTACTGAAAATGTGTCTTTCGAAATACGTAAGAATGGGGCCTATAAAAGATCTTTGAAAGCAATTTTTTCAAGATATATTAATGTTTTTTTTTTTACATTTTGTTTTTCCGAACATTGGTACTACAGGCTTTGGCAAGCTTGGTTAAGAAGTGATACTCAGTTGAACAACGCGTAAAAGTGATCCAAAAGTTGATGCCGATTATTCAAAAATTCAAATCACCTAAACGGATACGTTAACAAATAAAAAACTTGATACACTGCAGGAAAAAAATATGCAGCCACACTGTTTTGTGTGGCTTTTGGGCTGGCAGAATCATCGGACTGTACTTGTTCAAAACTAAAGCCGGTAACGCTGTTACAGCGAATGGACTTTATCGTGAAATGATAGCAAACATATTTTGCCACTTTCTCAGTATGTAAGCTGTCTACCAAAGCGCACTAACTCCACAGTCATATTGACCAATTGCCAGCAAATCATGGCGAAGAAAAGGGAGAACGATTTTTCAAGGGCGGAAGAACTATGGCAGATTGGTCCCAGGTCATATGGGGTCGTCGTATGACGGCTGGCTCCTGCTGATCGAAGTAAGTAATATGTAAATATTTTCGTTTTCAAACAAACTAAAATCTAATTGAATTTGGTCAACCCAAACAAATCCATTTCCTATTTCAAAAATAAAAACGTTTAACTTATTTGTTCCACATACATATCCATTTACTTATATTTCTACTAATGTTTATTGCTGTCAAGTATTACAAAAAAATGTATCAGTTTGTTGTCTGATTGGCTTGTTTGTTTGTATTTGAATGCAACTACATATGTCTCTAAAGTATATCTAACAACTAATATCACAATTATTTAATTGATTTCGTGAATGCCAATGAAGTTAAAGTTGTGCATCGCCAGCAAAACTGGATAATTCTAATAATGCCTTAAATTGTTTGCTTTGTTTGCTGCAAGTGCGGTAATGTGTTTGTTGTACACTAAACGCATTGAAGAGCAGCAACAACGCTGTTTACTGCTTATCTAATATTTCGAAGTCGCACACCAATGAGAAGTGATCTGATGGATACTGGAAGCTAGGCGTTCGATTTTTGCCAACTTCATCATCCCTGGGGAATTCCAGACAATTACGAATCTGTAAAATATAAAATAATTACATACATACACACATAAATAAGTAATTGGCTTGGGGCCATAATCTTAATAATAAAATAAACACTTATGTAATTACTATTTACCTTGAACTGCTCTGGCGTGTAGAATACATAATCGATGGTGTGACACTCTTCGCCATCTTCGCGTATCTTCCACGTGGTATAAGGTGGCTCTCGCTGTATTGATTTCATTACGCTGTCATCGCAAATAAGCTCCACTTCTTCCTCGACCTCCTCCCCGTCCTGCTCAACCATCTCAGGCGCCTCAGAAACTAACTCTGCATCAGCTTTCACTTCATTAGCGCTATCATTATTGCATTCATCGCGTTCGGCTTTGACATCCGCATAGGCGCTGGCCAATTTTAGCAGCTCACCACTCAGCACTGTGGCATATACTGGCTCTGTGGGTTCGGCATTGAAGTCGCCACAAATCAATACTGGACGTTGCGAGGCGAATTGTTTGACAAAACGCAACAGATCGCGGCCTTGCTCATTGCGCAATTTCGATAGCAGAGAGCCATGACGCGCCTTCAGATGAGTGGTGCATACGCAGAACTCCTTGCCGGTAGCCTTGACAGCCAGGTTAACTATAATGGCCACTTGATTGCTTTGCACGCGCCACACCTCCAAAATGCGGGTATCGAAGTTCTTCAGTTCGAATTTGTCGCGTTTGTAAAAAATGGCACAGCCATCCGGGCCGTTATTCTCCTCAATGTACAAGCATGGCGAATCGGGTTTCGGAAAGAATATGCCTTCATAGTTTTGTGTACCCAAAATGGTTTGTAAAAACTTAAAATGATCCACTTCCTGTGAAATGAAAAGATGAAGAAATTTATGAAGAGGTTGTTGCGGGGGCCAAGAAATATACAAATTCATTACCTGTAGGCAAATGATGTCTGGATTGTTCTGTAGAATTTCTTGGACGATGAGAAATTTTCGATTCTCCCATGTCAGTGCCTCTTCTGGACAACGCACGAAGCCGTCGTTATTTTGTCCCAACGCTACAAAAAAAAAAAAACAAAAAGAAAACCAAAACATATGTAAATAACGAACAACGAAATATACGTATGTAAATAAATACATAAATACATATTTTACGATGCAAAAGAGCGGTGAAAATCTGGGTTTCATGAATACTGTATTGTCTCACATATATGTATGTATATGTACTCGTACAATTGGTAGACAATTTGAATATCCTGTTTAGAACTTACTTTGCGATAAAATATTCCACTGCAAAACGCGTATATGATTGGGTAACGTGGAGGCCACACTATAGTCTGAAAAGAAAATGAAGCATAGAAAAAACACGTTGATTATTATCATTTATCTCTCTGCATTCATAATCAACAAAAACAGCAGACAGACTCAATTTGTAAAGGAAATGTGGTGTATTTTATGCAGAATTGTGTTGATGTATTATTCAAAAAATTTTCCTTTCTTTTATGTTCACAGTAAATTTGAATGCACGTGGCTGACTTTATGTGAAATTTTAAATACACTCACATGTAGACTACTCTATATGCAAGTACATTAGGGTGGTCCGACAACAGTAAAGTCGGAATTGTAATGCCCCCGACCCCCCTAGGATTGTTCTACATCGAAATAAAGTATGCCCCTATTTTTTATTTTGAAATCAACAAATATTTAGAGGTCGCTCAAAGCGCTCAGAGTCTGCCATGTATTTTTATATGGGAAAAATAAATTTGTTGGTAGAAATGGTATAGAATTCTTGAAAGTCAATATTTTTCGATCGGAAAACTCTGATTCCCTTCTGGAGACTTTCAATAATAATAGCCAATTGTCTATTTAACCATTTTGTAATACTAACGATTTTTTATTGGTCGCCCCATTGCATTTTCGGGGTTTTTGGCGGAGCTATAAATTATAGTTGCAATGAAAAAATGGTTAAATAAACAATTGGGTATTATTACTGGGAATCTCATTTCTACCAAAAGTTGTTTTCCCCCCCCCAATAAAATACATGGAAAATTTTAGGCGCTTTGAGCGACCTCTAAATATTTTTTTGATTTCAAAATAAAAAAATAAGGGATTTTTTTCGGCACAGAACAAGCCTAGGGGAGGGAGGGGGTGCGAGCATAAAAATGCCGACTTTACTTTTTCACATGCATTTTTGGACCACCCTAAAGTACATACATATGCGCTCATAAATATTCATTAAAAATGTAAGTATCTTCATATGGGTATGCATTTTGCCAATAATCAATGTAAAGCTGCTTATGTAGATAATAAACGTAACTAAGGTAATTTGCACTCTTACATACGAGTACATACCTCTGGCTACTGAGTTTAATTTAAGCGAACGCATTCCATCCGTTACATCTGCGCTGAGCGATGGCTTGACAAAGTATCTAGTCAATAATTGCGGCTGATGTACGCCCCTCAAATGTTTGACGTGTTGCAACAATTCAGTTGTGCTCAGTCCTTTCGGTATCTCCAAACTGTCATCCTGTGAGTCGACATTGTTGATTTTTGGTGCCGAATTGAAGGAGCCCATTCTGAAAAAAGAGTGGTATGATAATTAGTTTAAAAGTCGAGTAATCGATTGGAAAAGTGTNTTGACGTGTTGCAACAATTCAGTTGTGCTCAGTCCTTTCGGTATCTCCAAGCTGTCATCCTGTGAGTCGACATTGTTGATTTTTGGTGCCGAATTGAAGGAGCCCATCCTGAAAAATAGAGTGGTATTTTAATTAGTTTAGAAGTCGAGTAATCGATTGGAAAAGTGCTTAAGTTTTAGTATTTCCGCAGAGGACATATGTAACTGGCATTCACTAATTAAGTAAAAGTAGCGGTTGTCATAAAGAGTTAGTTAGAAAATCATTTTAAAGCATTCCTGTTGTGTAAATGTTTTCACAATTCGTCAAAACCTGGAACATTTTTATTTAATTTTTGCAAGTATAATAAATACATTTCCGAAAAATATTATTTTGAATTGTGAGAAAATATTTCAGAGCTGTTTCGTTTCAAGAAGTCGCATAGGAGTTGGTACTTGGGACTAGAAAGTAGAAAGCAAATTTTTTCTAGCCAGCAAGTTTTTTTTTAAACCAATCTTGGAATAAAGTTAAAAAAAAACAGCATCCAAAATGTCATTATTACGATTCCGTTGAAAAGATTTTTAAATATTTTTATGCAGATTTTTTAAGTTTAAACTGTTTTGTTATCTGAGTGGATTTTTTTTTAAAACGTTCTCTAACTAACTATTTGTATGCATAAAAATCTCCATTTTTGGAGGTATTTCTCAAATTGGTCCAGCTTACGTACATCTTAATATATTTCCGAAATATTTTGGTGAACATCTTAAAATATAAAAAAAATGTTGTAATCCCGGCGGAAAAACCGCAACTTTTTTTGGTGATGCAGTCTAATCTACATACCTTCATACATGTGTATATGTGTATGCATTTAGTTCGTATTGAATTTTAGTTGTATGAAAAAAAAATGTTCAAGGATAAGTAAAATATGTGCGTTTTTTTATTGTAACACGTAAGAAAATGTGAAAGTTTTCACCGTTCCGCCCTCTGGCGGATATTTTATAAAAAAAATATAAGTCCAGAAATTGGTTCCTCATACCAAAAAAAAGAATAGGCGTACCTAGAAAATTTCGACGTGGCGCCATTAATTGTGTTGTGTTAAGTGAGTTGCAAATTTTAAATCAGTTAAAACATGGAAATCTCTCGAAAACCTCTGCATCGATCAAATTTAATCGGTTTTTTGGCGATCAGTAACTTTTTCTCTGTAAAACGCTGGTTTAGTTATTCGTTGGACGCTCTCCTTCGCCCCAAGAACGAAATCCCTCAAAAACACCGATACTGGACGTGAACTGATAATGCAATATTGCCATCTGATAATTCTGTGGTCATAAGCAATTACCGCCTAAGATGACTTAGGAACGAATTGAGTTATATATGATACCGCATTCTTCAACTAATATCCCACGCATATGTGAAATTCCCATTTTGCCAGCTGGGCTATTTAAAAGGTTACAGACGAAAATATTTTGGTTTCCCCATTAGGCTAATATTACAATCCAAATATTTAAAACGTTTTTTCTCGAATACTAGTTTTCCGACTTAGGCGGTTATTGCTTATGATCACAGAATTATAACTTAAGATGGATGTAACGTTTGGCATTAGTATTGGAAGCAACAATGTAATATTAAATGAACGTTTATAAGAGTAAAAAAAAGATTCAGGTGGAGACGAAGGTTAGATTAGTTTAGCTTGGCTGAGATCCCAGACCCGAACTGGCCTCCGTTTCGTTCCCGCAAATCAGAAACAAAAAGTTGCGTTTTAAACTTTTTTTGAAGTGAAACTTCTTAATCGAGTTCGGAGATGGTTGCGATAAATATTTAACACCACGTCATAAAATCTGTATCGTTCGTTCGATTTTAAAAATGAGGTGTCACATGAAAGGCCTTGTGCTTCGGGAGTGCAACGTAGCTTTAGTTCCATGAAAGGAGTTGCCACATGTTAGAAAA